TACACTGCTGCTGGGCATTGTACTCTACATGTCTTTTAGGGCAACATTGTTTCCCCAGAAATGTATTGGACATGCAACAGTCACTTACTTCTTGTTAATAACTTCACTGTTATTGTAAGGCAACTTCATAAGGTAATTGAAAACAAAACAGTCCCATGCTTTATATCATCAACCAGGTAAGTCTTAGGTTGGTGGTTTATTTAGTGTATTAAAATCAGATCCTTCTTTTGGCAAGATATCTTCTTGGAACATTGAACTGTGGTAGGAAATCTGTGCATGAGGACCCTAAGTACACCAGGCTAATTATCCCAACAACTTGTAACCATCTTTCTCTGTAATCATCCTTTGGATTCCCTTCCAACCCATCCATCAGAGATTTAGTTGCTTAAGTACATCATCTCTGATATAGCACAGCTGTTTAGCCTTGGACCAGACCTAGATGAAAACAGCTAAATTGTAGGCAAGAGTCCTCATCTGGGGTTTCCACCTATGCACTCTCACACATTGTTTTGGGAGCTGCATTTTAACTCAGGCTCTTGTCCTTGGTCCTTGACTGAGCTACACTGTTAAGTATGTAGCGTGTATTCTTGCAAGCTCTTGTTCCAAGCCTCGCCTTCTGACAGTTCTGCACCTGGGGAGGAATAGCCTCATGCACCAGTCCAGGCTGGAAGATGAGTGGAAAGCAGCCTTGCAGAAAAGAACTTGGGGGATCCTGGTGGTCAAGCTGACCATAAATCAGCAATGTAGACTTGCTGCAAAGAAGGCTAACATTATCTTGGGGTTCATTGGGAAAAGCAAGATGAGCACAGAATTTTTTCAGTGAAATGGCTAAAGGCAGTGGGAAAAACCTGATACACAAGAAATTTAATGTAAACACAAGAAAAAGGATTTTTACTGCGAGCATGGTCAGACACTGGAGCAAGTGGCCCAGAGCGATTCTGGTGTCTACATCTTAGAGATATTCAAAATCTGAGTGGCACATCCTAAATCTTATTGATCCTGCTTTGAACAATGGGGCTGGACAAGATTGTCTTCTGGAGTCCCTTCCAAACTCAGCCACTCTGTATTTATACAATATGGCTTCCCGGGCTGACTGTGGATCTGCCTTGTAACTTGTCTGTCAGTCACTGGACTGCTTCTTGAACTCGCCTGCCATCACCAGACCCACTCTACTTGTCTTACTGTTGCCCTAGTTGGTGAGGTTATCACCCTATGCCTGCCCTGCTGTCACCCTCAGCTCCTGGTTACCATGTGGGGCTGCTGGCCCTTGTGACTCCCAGATTCTGAGTTGCAGATTCTTTAACCATGAACAGCAGGTCAGCTAGTAGTGTTATTTGCAACATATTGGTGGAGCAGTTAAACTCCACTTTTTTTGCCTTAAAAGTCTCTAAGGAATGCAAAATCATCTGCTCTAGAACTTTGTCCAAGACTACTGTCAGATGTCTTTTTGATTGTATGGTTGGCAAAGTCTGAGTTTCTCTTACATCTGTTGGACTCCTCAGGTAAAACAAAACAAAGCATTGACAGCTAAGGGTCCTGTTTTTCAATGGGATCTAACTTACTGCCAATGGTTTATAATAGGTCAAGCCTCGAAGCCATTAGCAAATTGATTCTCTCTTTATCTTTGAAGTTTGCTTCCTGAGTGGGACTCTTTCCACTAGACAAATGAGAAGTATATCTTGCAAAACAGTTTTTAAGGAAAGAGT